TTTTTAGTTTTAGTAAGAGTTTTACGGCACTTGCAACACAATAAGGTCATACATTAAGCGCCGAAATTTAGAGGTGTTACAAGTGAGTAACGAACAGCAAAAGATAAGGCCGATAGATGTTTTTAGTTTTAGTAAGAGTTTTACGGCACTTGCAACACAATAAGGTCATACATTAAGCGCCGAAATTTAGAGGTGTTACAAGTGAGTAACGAACAGCAAAAGATAAGGCCGATAGATGTTTTTAGTTTTAGTAAGAGTTTTACGGCACTTGCAACACAATAAGGTCATACATTAAGCGCCGAAATTTAGAGGTGTTACAAGTGAGTAACGAACAGCAAAAGAAGGACGAGAGATAAGGCCGATAGATGTTTTTAGTTTTAGTAAGAGTTTTACGGCACTTGCAACACAATAAGGTCATATATAATATAAGTGCCGAAGGTTAGAGGTGTTACAGTAACAAGAGAGTAACGAACAGAAAAAATAAGGAGGAGAGCAGATAAAGACGATAGATGTTTAGTTTTAGTTTTAGTAGAGGTTTTACGGCACTTTCAACACAATAAGGTCATATAAGTGCCGAAGATTAAAGGTGTTACAAGAGAGTAACGAACAGTAAAAAGGAGGAGAGATAAGGACGATAGATGTGTTTAGTTTTAATAAGTGTTTTACGACACTTGCGACACAATAAGGTCATATTATCATAAGTGCCAAAGATTAGAGGTGGTACAAGAGAGTAACAAACAGAAAAAAGAAGGAGGAGAGAAGATAAGGACGATAGATGTTTGATACGATAGGAAAGAAGAAGCAAACCACACCTCAGCACCCACAACCTGTCCCCGTCATTTTATGCAAGAAAAATTCTGAAATTATACAAACTGAGCCCAAAAATATGAAATTATGCGATTCTGTTAATTTTAACAAAAAATGATAAAGGAAAATAATCAGAAATTATGCGAAAAATGATCAAATTTTGCTAAATTATGCGGGGTGCATAAAACCACGGGGACAGCACAACGTCTATTGTACCGGTATTTCATTCTCACAAAAACAACACCTTATATATAGTTTATGTCTTTAATATTGTATGTTTATTGCCATGGGAAAACGGGGATGGGATGGCCGGGGAGGGGGGGGGGGGTAGGAGGGACAGAGCATTCAAACATAACAATCATGAGATGCAGCAGCAGCAGAGCAGTCAAACAAACTAACTAGTCCAGCCGGCAGTCGAGTCTGTTTCTCTTGTTGTTAAGGGGTCCAGCTACCGTTGATTTTTATCAATCAATTTATCAATTTATCCACTTTCGATGGAATTACATTGTATCCATTTTCTTAAAGATAATGGCATGTCCATGTCGTGCATTTAATCCTTTGGAACATTGTTGAATCCGATTCTTTGCTTCGTTTGTTATAAAAACTGCTATGATAGGTGACAAATGTGTCTCAAACAATCGTAAAACTGCTATCAAATAGCACGGTACAGTGACACTTTGCGTTTGGTTTAGTAGTAAGAGTTTTATGGCACCTGCAATACAATAAGGCCATATAAGAGCCGAAGATTAGAGGTGACACAAGAGAGGAACAAACACAATAAGGTCATATAAGAGCCGAAGATTAGAGGTGACACAAGAGAGTAACAAACACAATAAGGTCATATAAGAGCCGAAGATTAGAGGTGACACAAGAGAGTAACGAACAGACAAAAGAAGGAGAGACCAGGACGATAGATGTCTGATAGGAAAGATGGGGCAAACAACACCAGAGCACCCGCCAACCACCTACTCCCAGCAGAAAGAATGAGATACTAGATAAAAATGTTCTCCCCATGCGGGAATCGAACCTGGGTCTCCTGCAGGCAACAGCAAAGCCTATACTATAACTGCTACACCACTGACACCATTTAGGAAAACTCGAACAGATGTTTGTTTTAATAGAGTTTTTACGACGCTCGCAACTGCATAAGGTCATATGAGCGCCAGAAGATTAGAGGTGTTACAAGAGAGTGACAAACATAAAAAAGAAGAAAGGGAGATAAGGACGATAGATGTTTGATAGGAAAGAAGGAGCAAACCACGCTAGAGCACCCGCCAACCGCCCATTCGAACAGATGGGTAATGAGAAAACGCCAGGATAATAATGAACATATAGGTTTTTTTGAGCGCATCAGAGCAGAGAAATGAATGGAGAACCATGAACACGGATGTCTGTTTCAGATCTTTAGTTTTCGTAAGAGTTTTACAGCACTTGCAACACAATAAGGTCATATAAAAGCCTAAGATTAGAGGTGTCACAAGAGAGTAACAAACAAACAAAACGATGAGCTTTGGTGGAGAACACAATATATTTCGGAGCCAACAGCATGGACAAAAAATTCAATAAACTTGGCCTTGGCCCAAATCTGCCCTGTAAATCAAACTGCAAAATGAGAATCACGAAAACAATATTATTTATGGTCACTAAACAGCAGGTACACACAACAAAACTAAACACATCACACGACATGATACCACTATGATACACACTCAGCAATACAACGTACAGCACCATCAGCTGATGAGGAAAGAACACAAAAATGAACCTTTTTGAAAATACATAGCTGTACCAGCTGCACATTTGCCACGAGCAGCTAGAGATAAAAAAGATAAAATACTGCCGTGATCTGATAAAACACATCATTTTCATTTTGGCAGGATATATTTTATTCCACTAATGAATTCTACACGTCGAAAGAAATCTTGAGATATCAATATGAAAGCCTAACTGTGACTAGTTTTTGAATAAACTAGCATTTTAGAATTGATAAAACGCATTTATTTTCCAATGTGATCTGATGAAATGCATTCTTTTTTTGCGTATTGACATTTATACATGTGCCAGGTACCAGTTCTGTTGCCAGGACAGAGATTGCTGAAGTACAAATGCTGCCAAAGTCCTCAACTTTAAAAAACCCCCACCAAAATACAAATGCTGAAGAAAAATCTGACCAATAACAATGGCACAAACCACTTCCTCACCCTTTCACGGAACACATAGGCCTACTTAGTAAACAATAAAATAGACACTTCAAGAACACAACCCATGCCCCAGCAGTATATTATGTTGCAAT